GCGCACTTCTCCTCTCTCTATTGGATCTTCTTAATGGCATTGGTTCTTGAGGGTGTAGAGTTTATTCTTCTGGAATAATTTGTTGATCTTGAGAGGAAGGTATGACATTGTCTTGATCCAGAGTTGCTTCTTGAACAATATCAGGGATAGAAACCTGATCATTGTCAATGGCAATTGGAGGAATTTCAACATATTCCTCCTCAAAGACAAAGCCTGTAACCCTTTCTCCCCCCGCAAACTCAACATCCTCAAAGAACCTAGCATTTCCTGTCTCGAAAATTGCCTTAGTTGTGGGATCATAAAACTTGTAACCCCTGGACCTTTCAGAATATCCAATGAAATAGCAACTGATGGTCCTTGCGTCCAGTTTCTTTTCATTTGGCTTATAGGGTCTTGCCTCAGCTGGACACCCCCAAATATGTATATGCTTCAAACTAGGCTTCTTGCTCATTCAAAGCTCATATGGGGTTTTATCAGTGGTCTTAATTGGAACTCTGTTGAGTATATAAGCTGCAGTCTTTAATGCTTCACCCCAGAGAGATTCTGGTAAGGTAAAATGACTAATCATACTCCTCACCATGTCCTTAAGAGTTCTGTTTCGTCTTTCAGCAACACCATTCATAGTGGGCGAACCCGGCATAGTGTATACTATGGGACGATACCGCATTCCTCTAGGAATTTAGCAAACGGTCCTGGACGCTGTTCACCTGAACTGTCATATCTGCCATAGTATTCACCCCCACGGTCAGATCTGACGCTTTTAATCCTTTTGCCGAGTTGATTCTCAACTTCAGCTTTATAGTTTTTGAACACATCCAATGACTGTGATTTTTCATGAATGAGATATATGTAGCCATATCTTGAAAAGTCATCTATGAACGTTATAAAATATTGTTGATTATTCCAAGAACCCGTAGGGAATGGTCCACAAATATCCGTATGTATAAGTTCTAAGACGTCCGAAGTCCTATTGGCTTGAAATCTCCTTTTATTGGTTTGTTTTCCCTTTATACAGTTGACACACAAATCTTAGTCTGTGAAGTCAAGAGGGTCGAGAATCCCGTCAGACACAAGTCTCTCAATTCTCCTTTTGGAGATGTGACCTAATCTCTTGTGCCACAACGAGGCAGAATTCTCGTCGTTTAATTGTATCAATTGAATAAAGATTATCGTAACCTGATAAAGAACCGGAACCAACCAATTTTGAATCATGAAACAAACTAAATTTTCCATTTTCAAAAGAACAAGTATAACCAAATTTGTCCAAAACAGAAATAGAAATCAAATTTCGTCTAAAAGACGGTACAATAAATGTCTCAACAAGATCCAAATAAAATTCAATCTTTAAAAATAATCTAAATTTTCCTATTGCCTCTACTTCCATTCTATTGTCGTCGCCAGTATAGATGTATCTTTCACCATCACTTGATTTTCGGCAACTCAGGCAACCCTGCATAGACATACTGATGTGAGTTGTTGCACCAAAATCTATCCACCATATATGTCTAGGTACCGAAGTTAAATTAACCTCAGAACAAACCAAATGAAGAAGAGTACCTCT